CAGATTCTGAGATTTACCTTGAGAAATTCGATTTCGATTTTCTAAACCCCTCACGCTCTATTCGTCTCGTCTGATCGGCACGACCGCTTCGCGAAATCGGGGTCAAACCGGCTCTGAGGTTTCTCCAGGTGTCGGAATTTCAGATTTGTCTGGTCTGATGGGATCGGAGCCTCGGGTCGACCCGAGGCCCGAGCTGATTAACTTGCCCGTTCTTCAGAAATTCAAGCTCTACGCTACTCCTTCGGTAAATTTAATCATTTTCCTTCTCTTTCTCTTAATCTCCTTACGATTATGTGAATCTTGTTCTTAGTTCTTTCGTCTCTTCTAAATTAGTGTTGATTTCGCATCAATGTGATTAGTTTTATTTTCAACTAATTTACGCTGACAAATGATATGGTTAATTGGATTTTTTATTTTGTTTGATATAGTATAATCGCATAATAACAAATTAATTCTCCGGTTTTGGATTCGAATTTCGGTTTACTTATCTGATTATAGTCTGTTTTTTTTTTTTTAATGTATTTGCTTGGTGGTTTTCATATGGTCTGTAGTGTAAGGTATGAGCCTTTAACTTGACATAATGTAGAGTCTTTGGTTCTAAGTTTTCTATAATTTACAAATTTCAGCTTTGTTGCTTGATGGATTTGTAACGAAAATCACAACCTTTTTGGTTTGAAGTTTGTGAATAAAATTTGTTTGTTGTGCAGAATTTTTATTTGATTGGGAGAGATGAGAGCAAAAGCTTTAGGAGGATTCTTAAGATTGATCGAACAGAGCGAAACGAGTTGAATTTGTTTGAAGATCCTACAAGGTATACAAATGAAGAAATGCGCGAACTGAAACGATGGATACATCGAGGGAACAAGGAGTATGGTGGGCTACAAGGAATCACAACTTGCTATGGAATCATTGGTATGTCTCTTTACTACCACCACTTCGGGACGTTGTTCTTTCTCATTGTTTTCGAACTCATTTGTGTCGTTTTTTTAACTCATGGAGCAATGTTGATTCTTCGGGTGCAGGGTTTGTGAAATTCTTGGAGCCCTATTACATGCTGGTGATAACAAAAATAAAGAAAGTGGGAGAGATCTGCGGCCATACGATTTATGGTATAGCAGAGACTCGAATGATTGTGATTCCAAATCCTAACGTTAAAACTAGAGTGGCTGATTCTTTTGCCGAGCAAAGGTATTTAATCGATAATTCTTGTAACGGCTATATTATCCATATGAATACTCTCTTGTGTAAACTTAAGCAGAACACATATCCCGACATGTTTCACCAATTCTGTTATAGGTACAAGAAGCTTCTAAGCATGGTGGATCTTAGCAAAAACTTCTACTTCAGCTACACATATCACCTCATGTATTGCCTACAGAAGAACATAGGCAATAAAAAGAGAGGAGAAATTCATGACAACACAATGTTTGTGTGGAACGCGCATTTAACACGCGGGATCAGAAGGATCCTGAACAATACCATATGGACGGTTGCATTGATATATGGATTCTTTCAACAGGTATCAATCAAATTATTTTCCAAAACTTTACTAATTTAGAGTCTTCCTCATAACACAAGAAGATCTAATGTCTACTGTTCCTTTGCTTTGTCCAGACTAAATGTTCAGTATCTGGTGAGGAATTTGTATTCACTGTAATTGCTCGGCGTTCACGGCATTATGCTGGTACAAGGTACTTGTTCATCTTGAAAACATTACTTGTTAAATGTTTCATTCCCGACTAGCTCTCTAGCATAAATGTATTATCGGTCTTACGCTATAGTCTTGATTTGCCTTTGATCTTAACTACAAGATTCCTGACCTTCTCCCTATTAATGTGCAGATATCTAAGGCGCGGTGTAAATGATATAGGCAGAGTGGCCAATGACGTTGAGACAGAGCAGATTGTTTCCAAAGAGGTTCCAGAGGGTCAGAAAATCCCGATAACATCAGTCGTGCAAGTTCGAGGCTCCATACCTTTATATTGGTCACAGGAGGCATCTCTGTTCAATCCACAACCTGAGATTAAATGTAAGCACTATATGCATCATTGCATTGGCAAAAATGATAATTAGTTTTCGCTTATCTTAACGATCTTGTTTCTGTCTTTTTTTCGACCAAAGTAAACAAGAAGGATGCGACTTATGTGGCTACTCGACACCATTTTGAGAATCTGAGACAGAGGTATGGGAAGCGGATAATAATTCTGAACCTCCTAAAGGTAGAGACTCTCATTTTCTAGGAAAAAATATCAAATTTTATACGTTGGTTCTGCCTTGTCTTGGATTATTGAAATATTGGCTGTATTTTTGCTATCTTGTGATTTCAGACAGGTGAAAAAACGCGCCGAGAAAGCATCTTACGAGCAGAGTTTGCAAAAGCTATTCGATATATTAATAGAGGCATAAGGAAGGAGAATCGTTTAAAGGCAATCCATTTTGATCTAAGCAAACACTCCAAAAGGTAATGCACTTATTCCCAAAAATTGGCTGGTTGATTTGTAATATCTTTTACATTCTAAAACTGTTATCCGTTTTTCGTTCGATTTTGCAGTGGAGTTGATAGTGCATTCAACCACTTGTGTATCTTTGCGAGGAAAGCATTGGAATTAACTGACTTATTTTACTGTAAAGCTCCTTCAGGTGTAGGAGCTGAAGGAGTAATCAATGATTCGTATTTCAAGTAAGTTTGGTTTGCTATGTATTCTCCCAATGCAGTCTTTGTGTAACAGTCGCTGTAGCTTCAATGCGCGTCTCTGCTACATAGTTTTAATTGTATTGCACGTTTTTCGGTAAGTCCTAACACTAATGCTACAATTGCTTAGTAACCCTGTTACGAGTCAAGACGAAGAGGCAACTAGTCCAGAAAAAGAAGCTTTGAAGGCGGATATATTTCTGCTACAAAACGGGGTCTTGAGGACAAACTGCATAGACTGTTTGGACCGTACTAACTTCGCGCAATACGCTCATGGATTGGTAGCTCTTGCTCATCAGCTGCATACATTGGGTATCACAGGGCCTCCTATAATCGATCTTAATAATCCTTTGGCGATAAAATTGATGGAAGCTTACCAAAACATGGGAGATACATTGGCGTTGCAGTACGGTGGCTCAGAAGCACACATAAAGGTGAATTGATTTCCAACAAATTTTCCTGCAATGACCTTTGAACTGTGTATCAACTTTAGAAAGTTTATGGTTTTGCAGATGTTCAGTGCTTTGAGAGGTCATTGGAACATGATGAAGCACCGTGATATCTTCACAGCTGTACGTCGTCACTACAATAACGCTTATCAGGACAATGACAAGCAGAACGCAATCAATGTGTAAGCTTCCATTTTAGAAACTCATTTTCTTGTTTTTTTACGTTTCTCTAATTTGTTGTTTGTTCGACAGGTTCTTGGGGCATTTCCGGCCTCAGTTGGGGAAGCCAGCACTATGGGAGTTAGATTCTGACCAGCACAACATTGCAAGAGCTAGTTCGAACTTAGATATCGAAAACATGAGGTACCGTGTGTTTCTTGTTGATAAGTTGGCTAAACCTGAATTTAGCATATTACGGCAAAAGATTTGATATATCTTCCAAAACACTAAATGAATTGCGCAGGCCACTAATTAGGAGATCCTTTTCCGATAACATCCTCATGGACGGTGATTTGAATCTTGAGGAGCAGGCACTCGAAACTCAGCCTTCACGTGAAGGGTTAAACGGGGGTATCTCAGAAACCAATTCAGATTTCGCATTCTACGAAACTGAACCAGCTTCTCTAGAGTATGAATCGGAGTTTCTTTAACTTGTTGCAAGCTTTCATTGAATACTCTTCTTTTTCTGATTCTTTGTCCTTTTTTATCACATCTTCAGCTTCCTCTCGGTTACATGCTGTGAAGACCATTTGAAAGGAGCGGGACCAAGCGAGATGTTTCCAGGAAGCTGCTCTAATTCTGATTCTCACAAGTCCCCCAATGATATTCCTGGCTTTGCACACTCATATAAAACTAAATTTACTCCGGTAGAAGAAATATTTGAACTTTCGAGGTAAATATAGATTCATCCTCTCATAAGAACGTACACTTTGCTCTAGTTTTCTATATAAAGCCTTTGTAATATGCTCTAAATGTTTTATGGCAGCACAAGATCTTGGTCGTCAGATAATATGTTCACCGACCTGGATGAATCCGTCACTTCTTTATCAAACACGAGCTCCAGTTTTGAGGTAAACTTCCTCCATCTTCCGTATCGTTCCTATTAAAGTTAAATGATTTTACTCTTGCAAACAAATACGCTGACTCGGTTCGGATTTTCCCGTATCTTTTACAGTTTCGTCCAAGAATAGGCGGTTCCGATCAAGGTGAATATGTTTTAGCACCCGGCTTCTCGAATGATTTCACTCGGTGGGTTTTATCTGGGAGAGCGTTGTAAAGGGTTTGGAGAAGAAAATGTGCCTTGCACGGGAAGGTAACGCTGGTTACTTGGCTCCTGCGGCAGGGCTGGACTGACCTAAATAAAAGAAAGTACATGTAAATATCCGATTCATCTTTCTAAATGTCCCGG